TTGGAATCCATATAGTTTTACTGACTCTGACTCCACAGCCAAACACACACACATACATATATATATATATATATATATATATATATATATATATATATATACACACACAATAAATTTGGCTTTGAAAATGCTTAATTTTCAATTTCTTTGTTTCTCTCTTTATCTTTTCAAAGCCCTTTCAATGAGACGAGTTGTACCAGTGTTGAATCTCCAAAGAAAATGAATTTGGCAGAACAGACTCCTCCCCCAAAGTCAAAAAAGAGAAAGCGAGGTGATAAAAGTTATGCAGAAGAAGTAGAACTAAATCAAACCGATTTTTGTGGCAGTCCTCCAGTTAATATCAGCACTACTTCTGTGGCTGGCCAGGATGATATTGACTGTTTCTGTCAGTTGATAGCAGTTCGAATGAAGACGTTACCTGACTTCCAGGTAAAATCAATCAAGAGACAAATACTTGAAATCTTGCACAGATCCGAGATTGAAAGTTTGTAAGTTTGTTGCTGTGAAATTTTGATAAGTGCACTCAAGTTTTATCTTTTTAATGAATCCATACTCAATTAGTCTTGCTAATTTAATTAGATTAGGCTTCATTTATTTTTATTTTATTATTTGCATATGGTTAAATTAGCTAAACATTTCTTATCCATCCAAATTTCTGAGATAAACATTTATCATACCTAGCATAGTACCCATCAAAATGGCAGTATTATTATTTATGTATGGGCTGGAATGTGATTCTCTCACATCTGCTAAAGATCAGGGTAATCTCTATCTTCTTGCGGATAAATGTTACAGGTTTTATTTGAATTGAATGGTCTGCTCAAAAAAAAGTTTGTGTGTTGGGGGGGGGTACTTCATTTTTATTTAAGTTTCAAAATGCTTACATCATTGATAAGTGCATACTACTGGTGATGTCCTTTATTCCAATTCATAATAAGCAGTTATCTATGACATAAGCAGTTTCAAACTTGACCTTTAAGAAATGAGGGACTGATTTGGGACTAAAATCCTAAAATGGTAATATAAATAAAAAAAAATTTTTTTTCAATTCTGATAAAAGTTTACTTGAGGGAGATCTAATGAATGCTAATGTACAAAAATCATATTTCCTTATTTTTCATGAGCCATCAACTGCCTGTGGGTAGCCTTCTTTTGCTTAGTGAGCTAGTTTGATTGTCCATTACTATAAAGTATAAAACACCCAGTCAGTGTCAAACTAAATTAGGCTTGATAAAGGACATCAATTGCCTCTCTCTCGCCCATTTCCATTTCCGGGCATCTCAAGGTGGTGTAATGGTTAGCAAGCTTGTCTCGCTAGAACAATTACGACTGGGTAATTAGTTCGATCCTCACTGGGTGCCCCATCTGAGCTACGCTTGGAAGATCACTATAACAATGGAATTTGGGGTGGGGGTGTCAAGGAAGAGAAAAATTACCTTTTTCAGTTTTATTATCCCTTAGATATTTTAAAGTAAACTATTTAATTTTTTTTTTTTTTTTTTTTTTGGTGTAGTATGCACACCTAATGTATCCATATTAATGTACAACTTATGCACTTGCTCAATCTTTTAGTGGGTTGGGGGGGGGTAATATAAAGGATATAAATGCGTAAAGTGGAACCAGTGTACAAAGTATTTTCTTTATATTACATGAAATAAAAACAATGTGAAAGTTAAGACTATAAATTGGTGTTTGAGGGACAGACTTCTTGTCCGCTTTATACTCCTCTCCAGTTCTTTTGAACAGGAGTAGAGGTTTATCCCTTGTTTTCCTGTTTGGGATTGGGTTTCTGGTTCCTTCTAAATTCTACTTTAACTCTATGCTTCTAACCTCTCTGTCTAAACTCTGAAATTTATACTCTTATTGGGTTTCTTCTAAAGTCTTCCCTTTCTCTTTCACTACCCCTTGCGTCTTAGTGGCATTATCTCCTTGCTTGTGGTGAATCAATTTAAAAAAAAAAATCAGTTTCTTTGTTATTTTTTTTTATTTTTCTTTTATAAAATATTTCTATGCTTTGTTAAATATTTTTGTAAAAGCTGAAATCACTGATTGACTTCCATAACTACATTTTCTCTACTCAATAAGAATTAATTATTGATTTTTAGGTAGAATTATTAATTATTTGATTTCACTAATGGTAGAATAATGGATTAAGGAATCTGAGAGCCAACTTTGAATACCAGTCAAGTTCATTACATTCACTTACATACTAATACCCTTGGTAAAGATGAATCCCCCTACACACACACACACACACACCAGCTATGGATAAATAGTAGGGCAGATTGGGTGGCAAACAGATACTATGCAACTAAGGAAAGGATAGTTTTCATTGACTTGATCCCAACTATGATTGATTCTTTTTTGTAATACTAATGAGTCTCTTACTAAAGATTTTCTCTATAATTGTAGGTTACTTGTACATAACCTGCCTCTAGTCAGTGGCCCAAATTACTAGGTCTTTTACTTGGAGACAAACTATTAAATGCTAATTATTAAGTAAATCTTCCTTGCAACTGACCCAAAGCCAAGGAAGCTGCTCTTCTCATTGTTTTTATTTCAACTGCATTTATAAGCTTTCCTTGGGTTTCTATCATTTTTGGCAACTTGAGAATGTTGAGCAGACATTTTATTTGATCCCTGGGAATGTGAGTTTCCTTCCTTTTACCTGTCATGTGTCAGTTTGTTTTATGATGTTACTGCCTCATTCTGAGATTGAACTCTTAATTTCAAAGGAAGTATTTTTTATTAAATCAGATTAGATTTACCAGCACTTTTACCCAATATGCTGTGTTCTGAATTGGCATGCAAATAATTTTATTTAGGTTCCTATATTGTGTGTATAATAGCAAAAAAAAAAAAATCTCAAAAATGTAAACAGGATTTTTCAGACCATTTTACTCCATTATTAAAGGAAAAACAAAAACCTGATTAATATGACAAAATAACTTTTTAAATTTTTTTCTTTTCATGTGTTTAACCATATATTTTATCAGTTGTAAAATTCAAATGTTTGTGCTAATTTTAAAAGTATTAAAGTCACAAAAAAGTTGAATTCTGAAATTAAATATTTTAATTAATATCTTGACTTTTTTTTCCTTTACCATGATGTTCTTAGTAAAATCTCCTCAGTCATCAAGCTTAGGAATACTAGTTGCTGTAATGTATAAGGACTCTGGGTGAGAAATTGGAAAACAGTTCAAATTCATTTTAGCAAATGTCATTGGAAAAGGTATTAACTTAATAAAAAAAAAAAAAACAACCACCAAAGTAATTTTATACTATTATTTTGCTTGTTTGTATGGTCATTTATAATGCCAACACTTTAATTTTAGTCAAACTTATATTTTTAATCATATTAGTTTTATATTCTATCAGTAATTACTGAAATAACTATGCTAGACCATAGTTATCAGTATCCATGTATTTTCTTATAGGTCTAGTTATTAAAAAAGTAGCATCTAATAAGGCATGAACTTGCATCTCTCATGTCCTAAACACCCAAATTCATATAATTCAACAAAGAAAGTTGTAATAAAAAAAAAATATATATTAGAAAATGTAGTTTATGAACCTTTCTGTTCTTCAATTTATTCCCCCACCCCAAACACTTAAATACGTTGAAACCAAGATTTTAGGTTGCATCTAGATAAAGGTTTCCTGGCTCCAAAGAGAGGAAAGTTTCAAGAAGTAAATCTTTACTTTTGCAGGATTATATTGGAAATGGTTAAAATAATAATCGCAATACACACATGCTAGTCCAATTTAGCTTATGTCTGTTAAAACCATGAAATACGTCTTGTTCTTGAAAAAACAGATCATTAGTTTGTGCTTAAAAAGAAAAAAGTGGGACCAGAAAATTCAGTTTTGTTTTTCTACATTTTTTTTTTCTGTTAATTTAGGTCACTGTAACAATTTAGTATATGTTACAAGTAGATCTATCATTATAATAACAAGATGATGGTTGACTGGGATGTATCCACTGTTTTTTTTTTTTTTTTTTTTTTAAAAGACTCGATTGAAGTAGCTGAGCACCCCCCAATCTAAATTGATAAATCTTGATCCCTCCTTACCAGAGGAAGCAGGAAATAAAAAATCCAAATTTCTTTGGCTTAATATCTATTTTATTTTGTTAGCTGCAAAACCAATCATGTCATTAATATGAAAGAGAAAAAAAAAAATCAACAAAAAGTATCCGTTATCAGCAGATTTATTTTTATTATTTATTTTTAAGTTTGTTTTCTTTATCTATATCCGGACAAAACACAGTAGTGAAAAAAAAAAAAATTCACCTTGACTCATATATGAATGTTTAAATATGCCTTTTAAAACTTAGGACAGCTCTTAAAGTATTTAAAAAAAAACAAAAAAAAACGTATAGATGTACATAGATGAATCTTCATAAAAGAAAAAAAATACTGAAATCTTAATGACTGTATCATTTGCATGAGACTAATAGAGAAATCAAAGAAAAATAACTAGTATATATAGATATGTATGTGATCATAACACAATATTTTGTCTTTTTCACATGATTATCAAAGTTGTTTTCTTGTAGAAAAATTGGGAAAAGAAATTTAGATGTTTGTTTTCAACAATCTTGGAAAGCCATTAATGATGTCAAAGTTTTAAATAAGGTGTATTCATTATATGAGGCACGGTTAAAAATATCCCCCAAATTTCCTTGGTAAAGCAATTTTTCATTTTCTTCTCTCCCCCAACTTATATATAATGTCCAATATTTGAACACAAGTTGGAATAGACAAAAAAAGTAAATGGTAGGAAATGGTTGTCAGATGGTAATGATAATTATGGTGGATGTTGGAGCAAAGGAGGACCTTGAACACAGACAGCAGTGGCTGTTTTGTCTTTTTTTTTCTTTCTTTTTCTGGAATTTTCATCAAGTGTTGAAAAGAGAAATGTACACGTTTAGGGTCGTCTGTGGAAGACCAGGATTCATTCACAGATACTTAAATCCATTCATTCAGGTATAAATACACTTAACAGGCGGGAAATGTTCTGTAAAACAAAAAAAAAAAAAAAAAAAAGTTTTTTTATAATTTGTGTAATGACAGGTCACACACACACACCTATATATATATATATATATATATATAAAATAACAGCTGTTTGAGGTTTCCTATAGCCCCACTGAACTTAAAAGTCAATTCAGGTTTCCTATGGCAAAAGTCATTTTGTCACAGCTTATTTTCTCTCAAAAAATGGATTTTCATAGGGGTAAAATATTGAAAAATGACCGTTTTATCATCATCTAAACTAATATCAAGGAAACTTTTGATCTGAACCCCATGAAACTAGGTATTTTCTGAAAGCAAAGGATATATAGTGAAAATTTTGCATTTTTTTTTCTTGTTCTAAACAAATATTTCCCCCATTAATAGGAATTTTTTTTTTTTTTTTTTTTTTTTTTTTGAAAATCAGAAAGCCTAAATCATAATCAAACTATTTCAGGCATAAAATTGAGAGTTTTGAAGGAAATCAACATTACTGCAACAAAATCCATTGTTAATTTTCAATTATATGACTGCCAAGGGTTAAAAAAAAATGACACCCAGCCACGGAAATCTTTAGTAAAAGGCAAGAGATTTATCTGCAATTCCTAACCACCAGAAACCAAACGTTTTTTTTTTTTTTTTTTTTCCCAAAAAATAGCGATAAGGAAAATTAAACATAATTGACTTTGACGTCTAGGTCAAAGGTCAGTCAGCCAGCAATAAACGGCAAACCTTAGAACAAGTTGTAATAAAACTCACCACTCCCAGATAAAAGCAAAGAGTGGGGGAAAAAAAAAAGGGTTCACAATGACTAGGGCTTGATATAACCTATGTTTGAACAATGGCTTGATGAGTTTTGTTTTGTTTTTAACACCCCGTGACCCGGGTGATGACAACAACACTTGGCAGACGACATTGTTTTTTTCACCGCATATCTTTCGTATCTCCCATCGCCGGCCCATTTAGCCGTTCTTTTTATTCAATGATGTTCATGCCAAATGAAAGAGAAAGGAATGAATTTTGAAGGATGTTATTTTGAAGCAAAAATAAATATTTTTTCATTAAAAAAAAAAAGGGGATTTTTCTCAGAAAATTGGGCACAATTTCTTAATGCTAACCGCTGAGTGACATTTTCCACAGCCAAATCGAAGATTAATTACCAGTGAATAATTCCATGTGCAAACAATAGCCGTCTGGATCCTATAAAGTCGCCCTAAAAGGTCCAGAAGTTTACTAATTGATCGAAAACCTATTGCGCATAATTGTATTTTTCACGGTCAGTTTCCATTATTTCATATTGATATTATCATTTTCGGACAGCCATGTCATCAAGGATTCAGGAAAACAGTTTGTCATAGGTTTTCTTTAAGAACTTGACATTCTATGAGGTGTTTAAAATGTTACTGCCGAATATTTTGTTTACGCACCATCTTGGATTTTCCTATATGACAAAAACAAGGGTTTTAAACAGCCGTGGTTATATATATATATATATATATATATATATATATTAGGTGGCGGGGGTACGTGGGTTTGAGTTGTTACCCCTGTTTATTTATTTTATTACAGAATAATACTGAAAAGTCCTGCTGAAGAGAAATTCTGCCTCAAGAGGAATTGAACCTGCATCTATCAGTTCAGCCACAGATTCAACTGAGAGGACAAAGTTTAATATAATAAACAGGGGAAACAACTCAAGCATGGCGACCCACTAAAAATTTCCTTTTTATTTCCTATGGTGGAAATTTAAAAAAAAACAAAAAAAAAAAAAAACACCTTTCCTTAAAACACTTTCAGAGTGATGGGTTTCTCAAATCCATTAACTATTATTGCTCTTTCCAGTATTAATGGGGTGGGGGCTTTCATTTTTAAGTTTTGTTTGAAATAGTATGGAACATCATCCTCTTGATTTTCTCTTCAAGAATGCGTCATCTTACAGAAGACATAAAATATTTTAGGATATGTATACTTTTATTCCTGATACATACCCAGCAACAAAGCATTCTAATCAAAGCACCAATGGTTAAATAATTACTGATATTAACTGAATTTTGTGCAGATAAGTTGGTTAATTTCCAAATGCAATTTGATAATTTTCATAATTACAATCTATATAAAAAAAAAAATCTTGGAATGTTAGCACATTTCTGATATAGACAATGTTTTGTCTATCTTACCTTTGGAAATTACAGGCTGGGGTAGCCATTTTGTGTCTGACCAAGAATGTTGCTAACACATCTGCTACCTGTAATTTAAATAGGAATTTGTTTTATTTTATAAAAATCACAAATTTCTGAAACACATCTTTCAACACTTAATGAATTAAGAAACCTTCTACTTATATTTTATCACCAGTAATTCCATTATTAATAGGAAAAAATGCAAAACGTTTCACATACTGTCAATTTCGTGATAATAAAATCACTTTTGGTTTTGTTACAATCTCTTGGAAGAAAAAGAATTTAACCAATAATTTTTCCAATATGTGTTTGGCATTTTATATAAACGTTGCCATGGGAAAGAAAAAAAAAATTAAAACTAACAAAGAGTGAACTGAACATCTGCCTGATTGGTAACAATCAAGGCCAGGCAGTTTTTAAAAAAAGACAGCCTGAGTTTAATGGAGAAAAGAGGGCAGTTTGACAAGCTTTCATCCTACTTTATTAATAAACAATGATGAATGGAAATCTGGTATTCTATCTCCTACCTACATAATAAATTTTCAAATGTATTCCAAGTTTTTATCTAAAACATTGTTTTTAATTCAAAAATATAGAGCTGCTAATGCCATACCAGAAGGATTCATTCATTTTCTATAAATAATAACCTGCAAAAGGTTGATGAGCCAAAGCCAGAAAATATTTTTAGAGTAAGAAATATTTTGTTATAATGGTTTTACTGATACAATTCCTACTAATTAACCCACAGCTGGGGAGAGAAGAGGTGGAGTCATACCCTTTTCAAAGGGTATTTGTACATAAGTGAAAATTGGAATTTAGCTCTCCAATTAACAATTCTGAGCCATTATCTATTACACTACCTGCACACCCACACTTACAGCACCTGGTATTCTCAAGTGGTCACCCATCTAGGTACTGACCAGGCTCAATGTTGCTTAATTTTAGCAATTGTACAAGAGCCTGTGTTTCAACATGCCTTGCTCTCTGATGAGATTTAAATGTGAGGCTTCTTTATTGCTAATCTTGTTATCTCTTACAAATTAGAACAGGAAATCAAACTCTTTTACATCATTGTGGTTAGAGAAGCAACTACATAGAAACAAATATAAATTTAAATGTTTAATATCTTCTCTTTACCATAAAGAGATGAATGGAAGATGCAGCAAAAAAAAAAAAAAAAAAAAAAGATATTTTCACTTAGCAGAAACAATGTTACCACAAAGAAGAAGTAAAAGGAACTTTATGCAAAACCTTAGGTGTCAATACATAAATGGTATTAATCACAAATCATGATGTTTAAGAACATGCAGATAATATGATGGAATTTCTTAGTTAAAGTGACAAAACCAAAAGCAGACAATTTATATTCACGGGTTTTGTTTTTATATTCAAGAAGTTATAATCACTTCCTTCTGTTGGCACCATTTATTTTGTAAAGAGAATATTAAGAGAGAAGACTTGTGCAATTTTATATTTTTACAGATAACACTTAAAGAAACATTTACAAGACGATAATAAAAACAAGATTGTTGTGTTAAAACAATACTAAAAGAAGCAAATCTTGGGTTTCGATAATTTAGCCAAAATCTGAATTTCTTTTCATCTTAACTCAAGAGCTGATGCATATGCAATATTGAAAATGCATGGGTTATGAAAAAGTAACTTACTTTTTCAGGTACATCTTCATGTACTGCATGACCACATTGGGGGAGCACCTGCATTTGAAACTTGCCTGTAAAGAAGAGTGTGAACAAAAATAAAACTTTCAAATTCAGATTGTTACAAAAAGGTATATTTTCTTTTTTTTTTTTTTTTTTCAAATTGAAGTTGGAAATAGTCCAAAGAATTTAAAAAAAAATCATTTTTCTTTTCTACAATTAATTTCTTTATGTTAAAGTGAGGGAGAAACCAATAGAAATAGAAGTAACTTATGCAAAACAAATCAGAAACTGAAGACTCTGCCCAGTTCCAGGTTACCTTTGGACAGTATAGGGCTACTCTTTAGCTTTTTATCATTTATTAAACCTGAAATGTTAGCAGAAAAACAGTAGGTGTTTTTTTTTAGTGGTCTTTATATATGAAATAGGAGATAATGAATTCTAACCAGGGGAAGCCTTGATATGAACTACAGAGATTGTCCTTCAAAAGAGACAGACATATATGGAATAGATTTTAATGAAAACAAACCCTGAGTTTACTTGGGGCTGCAAGAAGAGTTTTCTTGCTTTAATGTAATGAAGGAGTTCAGGATGATATAATCTGTTATGAATGTCCACAAGTGTTAATGCAGTAACAGCCCTTACAAGTATACACTTGAGTGAGTACATGTACCAGAAAACATGTTCTCCTTACTAGGCTGATATATTATTGTGTAGCTAAATGCCACTAGTTCCAGTCCCCATTCCTACATTTTATTTATTTTGGTATGCTTTTCACTATTAAACATAAAGGCCACTGACCTCTGGTCTGTAACCAAAGTGAAGTGTCAGCATATCATATAATGTCTCCATTTATATTCTGCTTAAACAATGGCTGTTGCCTCCTTGTAGCATCCTTGACTTTAACACAAAAGGATGCCCTCTTTGGTTCAGCAACATTGTATGCATTGCATTCCATCTAAAAGAGTAAATTTTTATCTACCGAGTGTAGAGTAGCTTTCTTTAATTCTTTCTTTAGTCAGTGGGTAAAGGCTTCTAGTGCCATCTTTTCTAATGTGAATTTGTTTCTTTTAATGATTGAATTTTATCTGAAAACTCATATATCCACTTTGCATAATAAGCAAACGTCCCAAGTACACTTTTTAAAGATTAAACTTTTCTTTCTTTCTTTTTTTTTTTTTTTTTTTTTTTTGAGGAGTGGGGTAGTTATTTTAATGGGCAAATTCTCTTGGAATCTGGTTTAATGACTCCATTGCTAACGCAATATCCCAACAGCTTGATAGAGTAGAGCAAGGCTTCAGCAGCAAGAGGTCAAGCAGACTCAGTGGAAACATGCTCAGCAATAACTGAACAGTACTAAAAAGAGAAGAGGAGATTAACTAAAAGATTCACTTCTACATTGCCTGAAAAAGGCCCGAGTGTGCAACAGCCAAAATGTGTTGATAACAAAGAAAAGGACATTAGCAAATATATTTGCTTTTATGAACTAAATAGAAATGTTAGGTTTTGTTTTTTTCAATCTGTACAAGCTATAGTTATGGGAAATATTAAACTTAAGATATTAAAATCTGAAATTATACAAAGGTTAGATATTGAGGAAAGGGAAATATTTAAAACTCTTAAATTCTTACCTTGCATTTGACCAATAGTGAGATCTTTATCCAGTCTATCAACACCTACAATTTTTTTTTTAAATTAGAAAAAAATAAAAAGGAGAATTTCAATGTTGCTGTCTGTTGGAATACATTTTCTGTTCAAGTCTTCCATCCACAAATTTAGGTTACAGGAAAAGTTCCAATTAATAATGAAATCGTCCAATTTTTGAGGACCTAATATTATTATTAAAGACTTACATCAGTTTTTGTTTTTTTTTATTATTTTAGTCCATAGAAATCAATTTTGTAAAATAGATTTTTACAGTTATAAAAGTTTTACATGCAAGTGAAACCACAGATGTTAATGTCTTATTTTAATAATGACAGAATAACTGATTATTGCCTGTTTTCTTTTATCCAGGGTGGCACTTTTTTGGTATTTACTTCAAAACTGGGATTAACACAAGATATGTAGAATATTTAAATGTATTGAATTTGTGGAGAAGATTTAAAAAAATTGTCAACTCACCTGCAAGAAGGAGAAGCTTAGGAATGTTACAAGACAAGAACTTTTCTGATAAGCCTTTGAACCAACCTAAAAAGTTAAAAGAAAATATAATATTGACAGGAATCAACAAATAATGTAGATATGTAAGACTTAGGAGAGAACAAACTAAAATTGCTTACCTGTCCAATATTTATCTGTCTTTGATAAATCAATTCTCCAAGTGTATCTATGTGATAAATTCTGTAACATAACAGATTGGAACAGATTAGGAACATTTATCAGATGATAATCAGTAGAGATAAAAGAAAAGTAAGAATTTCCTGTAGACAAACTTGATACTTGAAATGTACTTTTAATATAATTTTAATCATGTACCATATTTATGCACAAAATTTTTGTACATGCAAACTGCTTTTGTTCATTCGAATAGAGAAACTCATTACTTTAACTGTTTCAAAAATCAAAAAGTATCTTACACTGCAGCATAAAACTACAAAGATAAACCAACAAATCTCATTCTTTAAATATGTGATAACCTCCCCTCAAAATTTGTCTGATTTTGACAGTGCCTTAAAAACTAACTATAAAACTTTTTTTCTGCAAAATCTTTGTATTTTCTCTTCATTTTATTTTTTTAAATTGAAATTAATTTTATTCTCGACAATATTCTTAGAAAATGCCCAAATGAATAATACTGACCTTTGGTTTTGGTGGTGGATCAACAGAGCTTTCAATAGAATCTCCTCTTATTACATGAGAAGAGACTGGTGATTTGGGACTTGTCTTACTTGGACTAATATCAGTATTTTCACTGTTTTCATTTTCTTCACCTTCCTCTCCTTCCTCTTCTATTATTGTTTCTGATATGTCATTACAAGGCATCTCTTTCATTTCTACCTTCTGCAGTTCACAAGTTGCTGTCTCACCAGTGTCCACACTGCAAACAATAAGTCAAATAATTTAAATGAAAATACTTATAATTATTTCACTGTTTTTTTTTTTAAATGTATAATGCATGAATGGAAGAAAAACATCAAGCTACCTGAAAATAATTTGCATAACTTCTTTGAATAATCACTATATAATTCTATATACACACTTTATTTAAAAGAAAATTCATTAAAATGTTACATGTGGTTGAATGGGGGAAAAGCATGTAATCTATTCATGTGAGTTAAGTATATGTCAAAGTGACCAGCTACCTATAGTGAGGGTCAGCAGTTAATGTAAGATTTTCTTGGGTCCAGCTACCCGACCTTTCCATGCTGTCACCAGTGGTCAGATATGATTTGAAATAAGGAAATTTCATCTCCAATTCAAAACTTTTTTTTACAATCGTATTGCGTTAAGCTTTCTGCCATAACCAGGATATTTGATGGAATTTAGCATCATGTAATAATTGTGCTTATCCCTCCCTTTGTTAATTTCTTGGTTCACATGATCATTATACACTGCCAATACATCATAAATAATGGCCTATTCTGTTTTGATTGCATGGAAAGATAAAAGACATATTAAAGATGCCACTTGGTTTCAGTGAAAAAAAGAAAAAAAAAAGATAGATAAAAGTGTTTAACGTCTTCTGTTAACACCTCATAAATAATAGACTATTTGGTTTTGGTTGCGTATGAAGACAAATAGAATCTACTTGATCTCAGTTCAAATATGAAAGAAAGATTGGGGAGATAGAAGTGTTTAACGTCTGTTTCAGTGAAATGAAAAAGTTGTCAATTTCAAATCTTTTTATTTGTACCCTCTTCTTAAAATAACAACCAGCATTCATATTTATGATTGTTATTGCAATATTTTGTTAAAAAATTTCTGTGGACATTTTATTGTCACAGAACTTACCATAAACTTATTCAATCATTAACTGAATAATTAAGATCATCAGAAATTTAAAATGGAAAAACTGAAATTTTCACAGGTTAAAACTAGTTTTTATAATTCTTTAAATAATTAAGTGATAACCTGATTTCTGAAATAAAGTAACAAATAAGAACAATTACAAAGTAAATAATTTTCACTAAATCCTTTTGAGCAGGGTTTTTCAAACATTTCTTTTTTTACTGCGGTTCACAAGAACCACATTTTGCATTGTGACCCATTATAACTATGTGTAATAAAGCAAAGACAAACTCTGTTCACTAAGTTCATTTATTTAGTGTCAATATATATATATATATATATATATATATATATATATATATATATATATATTTCTTATGAACCACATGTATTGGAATTGCATATATCTATTTGTATGAATATAGAATTATTACTTTTAGAAAAACAAATTTAAAGGAAATTTCATCTTATTAGGTGCCTTAAAAGAAGTAAATGTTTGCTTGCTAAGCTTATCATGTTTACCAACGTTCATGGATGTTGCATTTTCAGATGTCTCTGTTAATTGATGGTCCTTCTGTTCCTTCATCATTCTTCTTTTTTTGAACAATATAACGATTACATCATTAAGGTTGTTCCTGAAATCTTCAAATAGCACAAGTTGCAAGTATTACCGGTAAAGACTTTAAATGAACACAACACGTCATCATCTTACTACCACAGAAAGAATGTACTGGTACTCAACTTCGACATTGAATCTGGAAGGCACTTTTAGCCCTGACTTCAGATGTAACTGAATTATTCAACAAACTTAATGGCTTTCACTGGCCATGAAGATGAATGCACTGCACACCTTTGTAGGTAGGTTTTGGCACAAGGTCTCTTTGTGAGCTAGAACTGGTGTCACTCTGTCCACAATAAGTTTGACGAACAAGATATATAAACTCAATGAGAACAGTGTGTGTGTATATATTGGTTGGATTGATGATATATAAATAATTATATATATATATATATATATATATATATATATATATATATATATATAAATAAACACACATACGAGTGCATGACTGAGTGGTTAGAACATTCGCTTTCTGACCATGAGACCTGGGTTCTAATCTCAACATGGTTGATTTGTCAGGAAGGAGACTTCTGGATGTTATAGGTTTGAAAGTGAGGGGGATCCCAGCATGTGGCACCTTTGGAAAGTGCCTGAAAACCATGCCATGGGTTGACCCAAGCCTTGTGAGTGAAATTGGGTAGACGGAGGACTTGGAGGCCGTCGACAGCTGTTCTAGCACAAAGCCACAAGTCATCATGGCTGAGGGGGTGAGTGTTTTGGCCTTGTTCAAATTCTTGATCACGCTAGATAACATGCTCTCTCCCAGAAACTGTAACTAAAGTTGGCTCAGCATAGTTGCAGTATAAACCACAAGTGGGCTCTGTGGGTGTTAGCAAACACAAATGTGCCTGAGCGAGCGTCTGCAATAGGGATTGGCTAACCACCCTAGTAGATAGATATCTTTGAATATGAGTGGCCAGCTATTATATATATGTATTTTTAAAAAAATCAAATATAATATGAGCTTACCTTGGTGAAAAACTAGTGATAATTTATGAGTGCTGTGCAACATTTAAAGTTGTTTATATTCTGTACTTTGCTCTCACATGCATATTTTTTCTTCTTTCTTTTTTGTCATGAACCATTTTATTTATCTCACAACCAACTGAAGGGTAGGGACCTACAGTTTGAAAAACCCTGCTTTAGAGTAAAATAAAATCTAAAAATCAATAACAACCTATAAGACCAGCCATTTAAGCTACAAACTTGTAACAAAATAATAATTTTTATCATTGTTCAAAGTATGTAACTATCAAAAAATATATTTTAACTACAGTTAGAAGAAAAATAGAAGAAAATTCTGTATTAATGAAATTAAAAAAAAAAAAAAAATTACCTTTTGACTTGACCAACAATAGAAACTCTGGCAGAGTCTAAATTACGAACTTGCCCACTTCGTACACTGAAAAATAAAAGCAGCAATTGCATTAAGTAGATAAACAACCTATGAAGTACACCAAATTTTCAAGAAACTGAACATTTGTCAGGCCTAATAGCCAAGAGAAATGTATATTTCTATATTTAAACTAATGACATTACTTGTACAGTAAAAATCTAGGAAAAGAATGCAGAATCAATCTGTAACAGAGCAGTGATCCTGATGGAGTCATAGTAGTGCATGAAATGTCATTAAGTGACTTGAGGTATTGAGAGAATCTAGAATACTAAGTGAAGAAATAAAAATGCCAAACAGAAAAAAATTATAGAAGATGAGTTAATCAGATTGGAACTTGAATATTTTAGAAGCATAGGTCACATGCAGTGGTAATCAAAAGTTCTATCAGTGTCATCCACTGGATGGAAATCTATATAAACCACAAAGTTAAATAGCTAGTTTGGGCAGAATTGACCAGGAGATTGCACAAGAGTTTGTAAGGAGACCTTGCACTTGTGTGCATGCTTTGTCAGTCTTAAGTCAAAAGAAATACCAATTCATACACACATCTAATACTGCAGTTCACTCCTTTAATGATATCTCGAGATCTTAATAGAAAATCAACCAAGTGTATTTGTAACCTTATTGGATAATTTATGTTATTAAATTGTTGGTGATTTTACACCAGTGTCTATTTTACTTCTCTGCTTATAATCTGTTCATCTTTCAAGAAAGTTTCCAGGAAACCAAGGACTACAAAAGAATGCTTCAAAAAGTACATCTCAGTAAGTACACAAGAAAGCAACACCAGACGGCTTTAATCAGACATGTAGCAAGTTGAAACCTCAAACAGACAAAAAAACATTCCTCCCTACATGTACTCTTCCCGGGGTATCTGGTGCTAATGACAAGAGGAGGTAAATTTCAATATGATAGTCAGCTGCCTGTATATATTTAGCAACAGACAAGAGTGTGTATTGACTGGATGCCCCAACCAAGTGCATGGGTATAAATCCAAGAGATGACATTTCACTGAAGACAATTATATGACACAGCAACATTGAACAATCAGAGAAGTTGCTATCAGAAATTAACTTTAGTGTTTGAGGAAATAAAAAGAGCTTTCAAAATACAATTCAATTTCTTAATACTATATTAAAATTCTCGACTATATTCATGCCTAAAAAAATACTTACGAGGTTATATAAACTCTGCTAATAAATGTTAGTATTTAATTTAGTTTATAGTTTCATACTTAAAATTTTATCAGTTTACATCTTTCAGTTGTAAGATATAATAACCTGATGCCAAAGCCACCTTAAATAATCATGAAAATCCATTATACTTCTGGTTTATCATCAATCTTAATTTTCTAAGACCTTTTTAAATTATTTACTTAAAAGAAAAGTAATAGTAGCAGCAAAATCTACCTCCATTCAATGGCTTCCTCCAGAGATTTGAATGAAGAAGGGCGGCCTCGGAGAAAACTTTGCATGCTGCTCAAAGCTTCCATTGCTGTACCTGGAGAAGGAGGAATCAGAAATAAAATGAGACCATCTGATCTCATGCTGTTTTTTGTCAATAAAATTAAAGCTTTATTAAAATTATATCAATATCTAAAACCTATAAAAATATGCTAGTTGGATTTCAAAGGTTTTAATTTTAACAAAAATTCAAACAAAATATTCAATACAACATCAGTGAAATTATTAGATAATCAATTTATACTGTATACTAATAGACAAATTTAAAAACAGATTCATGTAATTAAGAGGCAGGTCAACTTGATCTGACAAGTGAAATGACATGATGGATAGTCATGCACTAAAACAACAATTACATTTAATGTTAACATTCAAAATCTGGCAATAGTTAACATTTTTACAGATTACAGACTTAAACTAAAATTTGACAAGTTTATGATATTTGTCAAATTTCTGTATTATTCACAGTATTACTTTTCTTTTGACTGAATTCTTTCAAGGCTCCTCAATTGTAATAGCACTGTTGTTGATCTCATTCAAGATGTTTTTGTTGCCTTAGCAGGATATCATAACTCAACCATGAAATTCAAGCACACTATCTTTCGTTGAGTGGAGTCACCTGCAGTGGCAGAAGAAACATTTTTGCTCTGGAAACAAAATTAACTAAAAAGTGCTAAAGAACACTATTAATTAACATATCTAATGAGTAATTATAAATTAAATAATGCCTTCAAAATTGCATATTTTTATGAACAGTTAAGAATAGTGCAAATAATCCAATTTATGTTTCAATCTTTATTTCCAAGTAGTTGAGACTCATTAATCTTAAATTTTACTATAAATATAGACCCTATTAAAGTTTAGGGCAGTGATAAAACCTAATGAACAATAAAACAAGTCCTCCTTTTATATGGTAAGTGAATGATAAAATGGGAAAAATTATAAGTAATGTGTTTAATTTTGAGAAAGAACTTCTTTAGAGAGTTTTACAGATTTGGAAATTTTTGTTAAAATCAAATTGTCAGAGTTTAATGAAACTTTCAGGACTTATTCATAAATGAATGAAATTATTTTTGAAATTTTCATTTTTTAGAAAATTTTGGTAAAAAATATTTTTTTTTTTTTTACATATGTTACCCCTCTACTTAATTTCATGAAATTTTGAGAAATTAAATTTCAATCTCAAATTATTTTTTTATTAGTTAAAAGCAGGACTCCTTGGAGAATGTAAATCATCTTTATTTTTTTTCAAACTACTACTAATTTCCTGAAAATCTACTCTGAATCATAATAAAAAATGCAATAAAACTATGACATTATTTAATTAGAAAAGCTTTTAATTATTTTTATAAATAAGATTTACAAATGTGTAAAAAATGGCCAATTTTAAATGATTTTCTGAAAGTGACAGTGTTGAGATTCCAATCAATATAATTTCTATTTGAATAACAGTATTTTGCTTACTGGAAAAAGTAAATTTAATCATTTAGCTTTCAAATTAATATTTAATTGAAAGATAAATGATTAAATTTACTTTATCCAGTAAGCAAAATACTCTGTTATTCAAATAGAAATTATACTGTTAGCTTTAAAGCTAAAAAGAACACTTCAAGAATGCCTTTTCATTTTAAAAAAATATTTTAAACCTTAGGTATTGAAAATTTAGTGGAGGTACTTACTTTTAATTAAACCATATTTGTATCAGCAGTAGTTTTCAGAAGAAAGGTGATATGACTCTGGATTATGAATGTATGTAAATTTATGATAGAGGATCTAAAAATCAATGCATTTTCAATACATTTTTACCTTAAATTATTTTCTCTCTTAATCAAAACTTCATTCAAAGTTATGGTCAGAAATATTACAATGAGTAACTATGGAGTATTGTTTTGTAAAAGATTCCTATATGTTTCACCTGTGTATCTCTTGAGACATTTTTTATAGTCTAGTGTGTTAATTTTTGCTTCAGGTTTAATGTCATATATTTTTGTGATAAATTTTATATTACTGTTTAGATAGATTTTCCATTTTTTATCATTCTCTTACCCACTGTCTGATTATATATATATATATATATATATATATATATATATATATATATATATATAATAATAGTAATGGACTCTCCCATCGGTTTCGATGTATGAGAATCTGACAGCTTAATTGTTTCAGTTATAAAACTTTGTGCAATAATCTTAAGTGGCACTTAAGACCCACTAGTGATTTACAAAGGAGGCCACATATGGAGTAAGAGTGAGGATTGAGATCATTGTTAGATTGGCTGATCTTTTACATCTTGCTCTCGCTTCTTGAAGACGATTCAAACAAGCAGATTGAAAACAAACACACACACACACACACACACACACACACATATATATATATATATATATAATTTTTCTGTTCAGATAAAAGATTTATTTAAAGTCAAAAACATAAACTAAGATATACAATGATAATCAGATTTAGGAATTACTTGTAACAGAAAAAATGAATAGAAAACAAAATCTACAAACACACAAAAAGATAGTTACATGTTAACGTTTATTTTAAAAGATAAAAAGAAATGCCGATAGGAAATAAATGCAAACCTTCAACAACATCAATGACCACAAGACCAGCTAAAGTGGGCACTAATTCTTGTACAGCAGTGTGAACAGCAATGGCTCCACCCATACTACAATGAAAAGACATGTTATATATCAAAAAGAGATAGCAATGTTTTTTTTTCATTTACAATGCTTGAATTTAACACCAAAATATCCAAAAGCATTTTAGAAGCAATAGTTAAGCATAAAAATGATATAATATAAATTACTTCTTTCCTAAAATACCTGATTTTAAACTATGAAATATCCAGAGTGAAATAACTAAATTCTGCTAGGTTGCAGGGAAACAAACTTGATAAGATTGCTTACCTGTGTCCTATAAGGATGACTGGAGGAGCTTCATCTTCAAACAATGCTTTGATCACAGCACCAACATCACTGTAAATATTAACAGATAAACACTATCACATGTCTTTGATGAAATAGCAAATCTTCTCAATGTTTATACTTGGAATATTTTACTTTCTTTTTTTTTCCATAACATTTTAGCTAGTAATTCTTCAGCCTTCTTCATGTGATTTTCTCAGTGGAGTGTAAATTACTACAACTGACAAATAAACATACTGAAAAATGCAGCAACTAAAAGAATAAATATATATGATATAAAAAATAATCTTCATAAACTAATGTAGAAATGAACACTTTATGGAATACAAGAAAAAAAATCTCAAAACAACACATTTACATATGCAATAACAGAACTAAACAAAGCTATCAAAAATAGAAATGAAGGGGATATTATTTCCAAAATCAATTTTGAGTGACAGGCATGAAGTAACAAATAGAACACTAAGAATTAACGACGACAGTATATGTCTAGAAAACCGGATGTCAAAATGGCTACAATTCAAAGAAAAAAGGGAAAGTTTAAGGAGCGAGTGAAAATGGAGAAAAAATAAGCTACTAGCCTGATTGTTCGAGAAATTTCATAGAAAATATATTTTCCAAAAAGAATCAAACCTGCATCCAACATGAAACAGTCATATAGCCTGATTTGCTGTACCACTTAGCCACAGAGGAAACATCTGGTTAACAAGGTCAAATTACTGTTTTTAAACTTCAAAATTTCCCATGATTTCTCTCAAATGCTCATATCTGCTTGAAGCATATCTTGATGTAAACAAAATTGTATGACGGTTCCGTGTAGGTTACAGGTTCAATTCCTGTTGGAGGACACATATTTTCTATGAAATTTCTTAGACACTCAGGCCGGTAAATGTTGTTAATACTGTTTATTATAAAAAAACATTTACTCAAATATTTGTATCTAAAAAAAATAACGTATAAATAGAAAATTTATTAAAATAACTGTTGGACTTAGTACTTTTCATAATATATGATGTCATATATATATATATATATATATATATATTGAATGTATTTAGGCAGCAAATGTTATTAAAGTCAGGCATTATGTCGATTAATTTTATTGATAAGACTTTTCCAAATTACAAATAATCTTTCTCAGATAAGGAGGAAATTCTACCAGAAATTGTCAAACAGTAAAAACAGATCCACATAATGATCCTCAAAGCAATACTCATACAACAAAAACAACCTTCTATAAATAAAACAATTATAATTTAAGAGTCTGCATTTTCAAATGTGTGTGTATATATATATATATATATATATATATATATATATAAATAAAATAAGCATACACAAATCACTACGATGATGACTTAAAATCAAAAGCTTTAAGCATATTTCTTCTGAAATGAGCTTCTTGGACAATTTCCTCCTTAAGGAATAGTCGAAATTTGGAATTTGGTCAATCAATAAAATTAACTGACACAAAATGTCAGTTGTCTTTAAAAACATTTTCCTATATATATATATAAAGAACAAATAGTAAACATTTATCAATCTAACATGTTTTTATTAAAGCTCCATCAGAGAATGAAATATGGAGAAAAGAAGACAGAAATTCTGGTATTTTTACTTTTGAGTTATTTGAATTTCATTGTTGAATCATGTTTCATATGCATTCAACTTGTTGAACCAATGTTGGTATAATTTGTGGTGTTCTGAATTGAAGGAGAGATGATGCGGCCATTCAAAGTTTCAAGAAATTAACGGATTCCAAGCCTAACTGAAAAATCATAAATATTGCTTTATGTATGTAAATTTATAATAAGAGTTTATCACAGTGCTGATTACGACACTGACCACTTCCTGATTTCCTCAAAAGTTAAAAGTAAAGTTAAAAACTAAGAAACTCTAAAAGAAGAAATGCCAGGAGAGAATTAACACTAGAAAGGCAGCCTATCCAAATAAAAACCAGAAGATCTTAGTGGCTTGCCAGTGAAATTGTGTGGAAGACAGATGGAACTCCCTTCGGGACACCATCTAAAATGCTGCAGTCTTAATCTATGGAAAAAAGATACACAAGAATAAAGACTGGTTTGAGGCTAACATTTTTATATTAGAGCGAGTCATCAACACCAAGCACAACATGCTGATTAGATTCAAGCATGACATAAATCAGCAAAGTCTTTAGGTTCTGAAAACTTCTTGTAGCAAGGCAAACTGCACATCGCTACTGGCTCCAACTGTCAAATAGCATCCAACAGGCTTCGAACACTGGCAACACCCAGAAAATATATGAAAGGGATTAAACAAGCAACTGGCAAACTAGTCTCCTTAGTCTCTGCTGAGGAGAAAGCAAGGTTCCTCAGGACATGCACAATGCCATGATAATTACCTTATATAAAAACAAGGGCAACTGCAGTAACTGCAATAAGTATAAGAGTATCTCCCTGTTAAGCATTGTTGGAAGTCTTTGTCAAGCAGTCTTAACTTGACACAAAGTCCTTGCTGATCACATCTACCCAGAATCCCAATGTGGATTTAGGGCTAAGAGGTCCATAGATTACATGATCTTCTCTTTATGTCAACTCTAGGAGAAATGTCATGAACAACAAATGCCACTACATATCATCTTTATCGATCTCTCAAAAGCATTTGACCTTGCTAGCAGGAAAGGTGTTTCACTTGCTTATGAAACTTGGCTGTTCCCTGCAATTGCTGAGCATTATCATCTTCTTTCACAAGTGTATTCGGCTATGATAGCAAAACTGCAATGCTCTTCACAATTCAGAGTGATGTAAAACACAGATGCATTTTGGCACTGATTTTGACATCTTCTCTTCCAAATTAATGAGTTTTGTATTCATATTTACACACAAGAAGCAAGGGTAAACTGTTCTACTTGATCTGCCTGAATGCAAAGACCAAGGTGCATACAGTCCTCACCAGAAAAATGTTGTTTGCTGTTGATGCAGCTCTGACGATGCACACTGAAACACAACCCCCAACAACTGATTAGTTATTTCAACCACATGAGAAATTTGAGCTAATAACAAAAAAAAAAAAAAGTGAGTCAAGATGTTTCTGCATTTCCATCAATGACATGGTACTTGAAGTAACAGATCACTTCATATATCTAGGCTCTAGCATCACCAACAACCTATTGGTTGACACGGAAATTGACAAACGCAACACTAAAGCAGCAACAGGTTTGGTTTGTTTTACGTCATATCAACTTCATTGAGTTATTTAATGATGACACGATTTTTATTTTCCCAAAATGAATTGCTGCTAATATTTTTTTTTCTTCAAAAAAAATTCATTACTGGTATTCAAACCTATCTTTATACTTTCATAGTGTTTTGACTCAAGTTTGGTGTCAGCTATTTGCCCACAGTCAGGATCCTAACAGGGGCTACCACCCAAGGTCAAGGTAGACCTAGGAAAACCAGCAATTAAGAGGAGGTTCCACATTACTCAAAACCTCCTGATCAGAAGACTTGCTGTTGGATGTAGTTTATCATCTTACTCAGGACATGGATGTAGTTTATTGTCATATCCAAGATGGAGCAGCAACAGTGATGGCCAAATTGAGCAAGAGAGTATGGGACAACAGTCAGCCGACCTTGCACACATAACTAAAGATATTCCAAGCATGTGACCTTTGTACTCTGCTTTGCAGCAGCAAAACTGGGTTGATATATAGCAGGCAGGAAAACTGCTTGGAAAGCTTCCATCTTTGCTGCTTATCGTATATCCTTGGCATCACATGGAGAGACAAAATTACCATCACTGCTGTACTGGAGCAAGCCAACTCCAGCAGCATACGTCTTTGTTAACATAATCTTCAATGGCTGGGTCATGAACATTGAATACCAAAAGACATCATGGATGGTGAGCTGGCCATGACACACCACCTGGTAGACTGCCCTGCAGCACATTTCAAGGATGTCTGCGAAAGGGACCCGAAACTCACAGGCACCAACCCCAATAGCTGAGAACAGCTAGGAGAAGATCACTGTGGCTGGTGGTATGCTTTCCAAGGAGGAGTCATGAAGTGTGAGAAAAAGCAAAATGAACCACTGGAAATCAGAAGACAACACAAGAAGCAGAGATAGCAATCTCAGACTTTCATCCCACATTCTAGCATTCTGTCACACCTGCAGAAGAGACTGACATGCAAAAATTGAAGTTAAGCCACTCTAGATGCTGCTCACAAAAGAACTGAATTTTGACCAAACTGGGTGCTATCATAATCTTATGAGATAAATGGATGCCTACTATATATGAACAAAAGAATGAAAGAGCATTGTTAAAAGGCACTTGGCCAACATGACTAACCAGAAATTCATTTATCAGCAGAAATAATCAACAGTAGACTTTGCACAAGATAAAATTTTATCTGAAGGAGATTGGAAGACATTGGGGAAAAAAATAAATAAAATGCTACTAGTGGATTATGTAAAAAAAAAAAAAAAAAAAATGTCATGGCTGACCGTGAAAGGATTTTTAAATATATATTTTCTGTATTTGTCACTGACAATGTAAAAGAAAAATTCTGCCAAGAAAACTTTGGTACACTGATTCTCATAACACTGAATTTTAATAGAAGTTGTATGTGGTAAAAGAGCTTTTTACCAGAGGTATTTTATAGCAAGATTGATTAACATCATCAGCACTTGAATGAAAAAGAACAATTTAGAATGATATTAAAACAAAGAGAATAAAGTTACAGGTTTTGAAGTTAATTATATTAAACCATTAACACATTTTTAAATTTCTTCCATACAGATGTGATTTGTGTTTTCTTTTTTTTTTTTTTTTTTAAACAATTTACCAACTTCGTAGATTATTTAGAGCTAAAACATATTTTTGAATTATAAGAATAATTTTTTTTTTTTTTGCAAGGAAATATTGCATTAACAATTTTTTGGAGATAACAATGATTTTTCTAGTTACAAGTCCTACTATCTAACTCAATCGTTCCCAACTGATTTTGGGTCATGCCCCACTTTGGTATTTCTAAAATTCTGCACCCCCCCCCATAACATTTAATTCTTACATATTCAAAATTTTACTGCAATTCATGTGAAGGAAGCATAAAAGGCTATTAACTTGGTCTCTAAACAACCCTCTAAAAATCATGGCATTCATGAAAAAGACAAGTATACCAATCACACATGTACATACATACACACAAAATATTTTTATGTATGCATACTGTACATTCATCGTATATATTAACATGCATTAACATTAACACTCTTACTCAGACTTACTAGAAAACAATTTACTGTTAATAACTCATTCTCGAATTTCCCCCCCTTATTCTCTTGGTATAGTAACCCGAAGAGTACACATCCTACACATGTCCCACCAAAATATTACCATGTGCCTCACGTTGGGAATCATTCATTTAATTCATAGCCACAGGGAAGAGATGGATTCATACTAGTAAGTGAATGTAACAAACCAGACTGAAATTTCAACTCTGCTCTCCAATTTCTTATACTGAGCACTATCCATTCCACCACCTACACATCCTTTTCCATAAAGAATCAGATGCAGATAAGTTTGTCAGAACAAGTTTCTAATTTTTTCTAATATCCATGTATCATAAATTATTTATTACATTCAATACAAATAGATATATAAATTAGGAAAGAAAGTCTTACCTAGACAGTATTTCAGCAGAAAGATCATTATTACTGTCAGTGGAAGTATCGCCTGGAAGCATAAAAGCAGAATATCATCCCATGCATAAAATTCATTTGTTGGTTCTAAGATTAAAATTGGCTTCACAATAAGATATACATCAACACAAATAGACTTAGGAAAATGGTAAACTGTTTAAAGATTAACTATATTGTCTTAAGAATCAAAGAAAAATTTGCTTTATACATAATTGAAACGAAAATAAGTGGCCAAGATACTGTCTGTTGAGAAGAGTCATTATCATTCCAATATTTGTTCAAGACCATTGAATTAATTGTTAGTTATATTGAAGGATGAATCAGCAAAAAATATTGTGCTAATGAAATAAGTAACAAGTTCAGTAGATAAATCATTCCTGGAATGAGACCAAGTAACATTTTCTAATTTTCCATTATAAGATTAAATAAACACTTATTTCCCTTCTAGACAAAATGTCTACATAAAGTACTTTATTGTTAACAAGGTTAGTCACTTGGTTTATTGGTAACAATAATTTTCTATATAAAAATATTAAAGTATGGAAATTCTTGAACAATTGGTTTCCACAAAACTTTTAACATATATACTGAGAGTTTATTATAGTTAATAAAAAATACTAAACAATTATAATGCACAAAAAAAAAGAAAAAAAGTTTTACAATAAGTGTGTTCAATAAAATAAAAAAAACAGCCAGCTAAGATCTGGACTTATGATGCCTACATATTGTTTCATAACTTGGTTAACCTCATAAAATGAGATTAGAAGCTTGCTGGCCTCTACAAAAATTTATGCAAAATCAAAACAAGCATAAAATGAAAATCAGGAGAATTAAGAAAGAAAGAACATAATTACCATGTCCACGTAGGTCCACAGCTATGCAGCGACAATGGACTAATTCACACAGATGTGACTAAAAGAAAATTCAGAAATTTATATTAGAAAAAAAAAAAATTAATCAGTAAATATTAACTAATTCTTTGGATGTTGTAAATAAAAAATTGGTAGCTTATGCTTGGAAAGACTACATTTCTACTTTTACTGCTTAACGGTAGAATTTAAACAAATTACAATAGAATATGAATGAATACAATCATTACCTAGTATGTACTGGTAAGAATTTTTGATTACATATTTTTTTCAAAGGTAAAAGAAAACTTAAGACAGACCTTGAAATTAAAATTCAGTTTTTTTTTTCATTTCTTATGACTTATATAAGTTTTAACACCTGAGAAGTGATGAAATGCATTTAACTACAACTTGAATTATCATACAAGTATCAGATGTCTTTAATAATTCATTTTAAGAATTAAAAAGACAATGTTATATCAATGTAGCATCAGTACGGGAGTATGGATTTGATATGTAATACTTCCATTTTGTCAATGGCTACTGAAAAAGACAGACATTATATAAAGCAATATTATAATATTATATATGGAGTTTATAAGCATTGTTCTTTTTTACTTTGTTATTTTTGATGCAAACAAAACCAGATGTTGAATTCTTTTCAGTATCATTAAAGTTAATTAGTCGACAGATGAAAGAAAGATGCATTGCAAAATGAACTGGTCCTATTTAGTCAGAATCTAACAATATGCCAACTATTTGCAATGTCAGCAGTATATATCATCGGTCAAGTATACTAAGCTAATGACATTATTACTTACCGAGAGCAAGGCCCATGACAAAGCTGAATAACCACCACCATGTAAGAAAAATATAACCGGTCCTTCTGTTCCACATTCATAAACTCTGAAAGTCTACATTAATCTTAAGAATAATAACAGAAAATTAAAAAAAAAAAAAAGCAGAAGTCAATATTTTGACAGGATTAAAAAAAGTGAAAAAGTACGATAAAGCATTTACTTTATATGCATGTGTGTGCATGTAGCAATAAAAATTTACACACCATATATTTTGTTCTTTTAGCATATCAAGATTCATGCAGGCAAGATATACAGTGACAATTATACTGACATTTTCTTCTGGAAAATACACATTTCCAGTTTCATGTAATTTATATATTATCTACTTAAAAAAAAAATGCACATTTTAAAAAATTAATTCTATAGATTACTGCAGTATGTAAAATGTCAAAAGGATACACTGTATTCTCCAACTTGTACGTCATGTTTCTTATGAAAATATGTGTCCCAGTAAACTGGAGTATAATCTCGTCTTCTCACCTGTAATCCACGTTGATTGCTCCTGAAAGAAAAGGTGTCAATGAAATTTTACAAATCTATTTTTTTTTTTAAAAGAGGAATTTTAATTGAAGAAATCAAAGATATATAGGTTTCTCATAAACTGAAATAACTGTCAAATTACATTCACAAGTAAAGTTCCTTTTTCTGCGTCTACCACACTCTTCTTCTATGTGCCATATCCCTTCAGGACATAGGCGATCATGGCTCTTCACAATTTCCTGTCTTTCATAGCTCTTAATCAATTTTCTTCTTATTTTACCTAAACCTTGTTCCATCATACATTTACTCAAGATTGTTTTTCTCTGTCCCTCTCTTCTTCAATCTGTCCTGAGTGTATGATTTTCCAAGCTCACTTTCCTCATTATATGCCATAAAAATTTCAACTCTCTTCCTGATGTTAAGTATAAGTTACCTTTTTGTTTCCATTTTCTCTGAAACTTCATCATTGCTGATATGTTTGGTTCAAAGTATTCTTAGCATCCTTCTGCAGAACCACATTTGTGTTGCTGCAAGTTTTTTTTTTTCATCTGTGAGGAAATTGTCCAGTATTCACTGGCATACAGGAGGACTAATATCATGCAACAGTTCAGTCTACACTAAGAGGATACAAATAATTAATCTTTTTGTTTTAAGGTTTTATCTGAAGAAAAATCTCTTAGGAATTTGAATTACATTTATTTCCAGGAAGTCATCTTTAGATTTATAAAAAAAAAAAAAATGGTTAAAAAATTTTGTAATAAAGTACCCAGTAAGGTAATATTAACTGTTTCCTTATAAGGAAATATTTGGTATTTATTGGCCAAGTAGTTAGTGTTACCATCAGTTGAAATTTATAAAATCTTTCTATTAAAACAATTTCTCACGAAAATAAGTTTCTCATGGTCACTGTTATCACTCTTCTGGCATTGATGGGGGCTTTCTTAAACTTCTATTTAAGTGGTGTGGAATGTCAACATCTTGATTTATGCCATTACTTTCTCATTGAGTTACATGTGACATCCATTTTAGCTCTTGCTGTTGTTGAAAGTTCTAAAGTGATATAGTTTCTGTTATTTGGTAGAGTTCTTTGTGTGCAATTCTGTAGCACCAATGCACAAGGTTTGTAGAAGAATGGTCTTCACTAAGGGCAACAAGCTTCACTTGCTCAAAGTCATTTTTAAATCATTTGTACACAACTGACAGTTTAGATATTTCTAAATAAGTTTGGCACCATGCATGAAATCCATATGAAAGTCTCAATCTTACAAGAGTATTTAAAAATATGACTCAAATTTTTAGGTTAATGTTTTGGTTTTGTGGCAACTTGCACTGTTGAGTAAAATTAGCTCTAGTGAAGCCTATTCTATGTTCAATTTCATTATCTCCTATACTAAATTTGTTATAACTGACATAAATCACAAAGAGAGAGATTTATTTATCATGGTTATTTACAAACTTAGTTTTGATATGAAGTAGCGATTGAGAACAGTTGTGCGTGTGGTGTAATGGATTGCAGCTCAGAATGTGAAATCAGAGAGCCGAGTTTGAATTCCAGTTGAGTTTGTTCACTTATGTGCAAACACCTTTGAAAAACAAATTCATCTCTCCTCCCTCCAGCTATGAGTTAAATAGCAGAACAAGTTAGTTTGCCTTTGTTGGCAACCATTCTAGAGATAGTGATTAAATAAAATCATCTGTCTCCCAGCAAGGGTGGGCCACCTGTGGGGATGCATTGGTGCAGGATAATACAGTGACTGAAATTCTTCTGCCACAGACTGAGAAAGCGTTTAATCAAACCTAGTGAGAACCAAATTCACTGCTCAACAGTAACAATAATAATGACTGGGTCATTAACCATTACATCATGATGAGACAATCAAGAGGAGGTATTTATGGTTTAAAATAGCAGATATAAACTAACAGTACTATTTCCAATTATTTTTATTTCATTCTTTTGAGAATGAAGCAAAAGCAAATAATTGCAGGGAGGAGGATTCACAATTATTCAAGAAAGCCTGAAAATTTTAATGCAAATTAATTTTTTCAACAAACAACTCTTAATATATTTAAATTTTAGAGATCGTAAAGATACACTAATTAAATTACAGTAAAAGCTTCATTTAATGTCCTCAGCTTAAGGAATTTAAAGAACCACTTGTGAATTACATGGTCATAACAAACTTACTTTTTATTTTTACTGAATGATGTTGGATAAATTCTAGAACAAATCATCATGTTAAGTTACTAGCTTGTCAGTTAGAAATGAAAAATTTTGCCAATTTCTGCTATTTTTAAAGAGAGTTTTCCCTATAAATAACAAACCCTTTTGCAACTGTGTGTGCATGTGTGTATGTGAGAGACCTATCTCAATGTTTCAGGTTGTTTAGTGTGTAGCCAAGATCACTTGCATTTTGTAAATGATTAGTCTCAGTGACCCATGGGTGAGTGCACTGAAAAAAAAAATGTTTTGAAAGGACAAATGTAGTATGTGTGCATGTGGTTTGAGCTTAATCTCTTCAGATACATACTTGTTCAAATTGATACTTTTCTTTCGTTCTGTGCTTATCATCATTAAATTTATTTATTGGGTACTTTTTAGATTTCAAATGTCTTTTGTAAATCTTGTTTTAATAAGGTTGTAAACCATTTTCTTTTTTGTTTGTATTTTATATTTGCCTTGTTAAATTTTCAAATCTCAGCTGACTATCATGAGCAAACATTTTACATGTTTTTTTTATTCACATTCCTGTTTTTCTAAGCCTCAGTCATAAGTGCAAATTAAATACAGTGCAGAGTACATCTACAGCGCAACTTATAAAAACCCTCCCAATATGAGGAAGGAAAATATGTATGATTGTTTTATTTGATATTTTATGCAGTTTCACGTTACATTGGTCATTTGCATGCAGTCTTAGATTGAACAAAATGATGCTCATTGACTGCGGTGATCCACAGAGCATGCTTTCTTCATTGAATTTAAGGAAGATGCTCACCCTCCAATTTTTAAAATTGAGATTCAACTATAAAAATTTTATGAACTTAAGAAATTTGCATCTACTTTGATATTTTGTATCTTAAAAACACAAGAATAAAAAGCTGGAAAAGTTATTTCCCTATCTATGCCAGTGGTTGGTGTTCGAGCCTATGTGAAACTAAGATTTCAAATGCCCTGCTCACTTTATAAGACTGGCCTCACACAATCTTCCTCAACCAATTTTCCCTAAGCCTTGAGGTAATCTGCCTTTTTTTCTTTTTTAATGCCATATCTCTTTCTGGATAAAAATCCACAGATTCCTTTTATTATCTGTCAAATACTATGATTTCTTGGTAAAGATAGTGGAGTGGTTTCCCTGTTACTTTCTCCAAGGTTTTGCATTCTCTCCTGAATTGGTTGCCACCAGCTAAAGAGCCCAATCTACCTGGCTATCCAACCATAGATGGCAGGAGAAAAGACAGATTCATGCCTTTCCAAAGAATATTCATACATAACTGAACGCAGCAAACTAAGCAAAATCTGAACTTGACTTGTTGATTTCACTTTCCTTGTCAATAAGTGTCACATAATGAACATACCTAAGAGAGGTAATCTTAGAGAAGATACGTGGAAAAATAAGTGAAATTACCCACGTGTTGGGTTGCAGTCAGACGTAGGAGTTGGAGTGTTTGCCATGACTTGTTTTTCAAAGCAAGACTGCTCCAAGCACTAGTTTTTGTAATCTTTTTACTGGAAGGCCTGCCTTCCCTCTCTTCTCATTTTTTTTTTTTTTTTTTTTTTTTTGTGAGAGGGACTTTATGCAAACAGAGTCATTCCACAAGTTCTCTTCTTCATTCATTATTAATTGATCCCTGAGTGAATTTTGAGCCATGAGACTAGGCAGTGTTTTGTAATACTTATTGTACCGGACCAGCTTCTGATTTACCCTTCGACAGATAAAAAGGCAGGTTTGGCCAGATTGTCACCAACTTTTTGAGTCCTTTGACAATATAACTAACAAAAATATGGAACAGAGACCGAGAGACAGGTACAAAGAGTTTTTTGTTTTTGTTTTTTTAAAGCCATTTTCAAAACAAAAACAAGTAAAACATATATTCTTAAAAAAAAAAAAAAATTAATAAAGTTCATAACTTACTGCATTCACTTTTGCACTAATGTTTTTAGGAAAGTCATGAATCTACGACTTCTCTCCCAGCTATGGGTTAAGCAAGGAAAACTGACTGGACTCTCTAGCTTTAGCAGCCAATTACGAAAAATAGAAAAGGACTATTTAGAGACTGTGGAGAAGACAACAAGAAACCACTCCACAAAAGTCATGCCAATTCACGGACAATAAAGAAAAAAAGAATCTGTGGAGGACCGTGATCACCTATGTACTGAAGTGACATAAATTTAAAAAAAAAATGACGACAGGTTTTCAAACTTGTTTTGATTTTTCCGCGGCTTTAATGATATTGTTTTTCGCATGTCTCATATTGCAATACATTATTTTTTAGAGAGAGTAAAAAAAAAAAAAAAACTTCTCCGATTGAATGAAAAAATATATCATAAAACAAAAAAAAGTAAATAAATAATTCATGAAACTAAGAAAATAACAAACGACAAAAAAAAAAAAACGAAAAAAAAAAACATCTTTTAATTTTCCGTTACCTGATGAAGGAAACCCACCGACTTTTAACTACTCCATCAAAATTTAAATATTTTTATTCAAAATAATAATTCTTTAATTCATTTGTAAGTGATTTTTTTTTTTATTTGATTTAAAAAGAAATCAAATTATGCTTTTAAAAAGTCTTGGTAAAGAATAATTTTTTTAAAAATGTTAAAAAACGATAAACACTTTTTTAAAACGTTTCTTTTTATTTTATATATTTAGTTTTTATCTCCCGAATTTCAAATAAACTGAAATAAGAATAAATAGTACTTTTTTTTTGCTTTGAGAAATATTACATTTGATTCAAATAAAAGAAAAAAAAATAATAAATAATTGAAAATAATTTTTTAAGCTAACATACCCAGACGAAGGC